GCCAGCGGCAGGCCCATCTTGGAGCCGGTGGCATTGGCTCTATCAGAGGTAGGGCAAGCTTCTAGCAGCTTCTCACAGAAGCCACCCCGGTAGCCCCCCGCTACCAAAACCTTGCCACCCAAACCCAATGCACCCTTATGGACAGCTCCAAGCTTCCCAGAAGCAAAGCCCTTATTTCCAGGGCCGGGCTGCTGCCCTCCATCCATTGGTGTCGGCTCCGCCGGGGAAACCCCTGCCTGCTCCCTCCAGGATGGCTCCCTGCCACTGGGGCTTTCCTGGGAAGCTTGGCAGGGCCGTGCTTCAGCAGGGTTCAGGGCCTGATTTTCAAGCATGCCTCCTCCTTGATTTGAGCAGACATATTGCAGTGCAGAGGGTAGATATGAAATCTCCAATGGCCGGGTTGAGATTTGCATGGGCTCTGGCAAGCGGCACCTGAGCAGAAGGTCTTGACGTGCATCAAGGCGACCGTGAAAGTCATTGCGTGGGCCTTGACGGAAGGCAAGGACTTTGACTTTGTCTTCAAGAACTTCGGCATCCTGGTGTGTCGAAGAAGGAGAGTGGTCATGAGGTTCTTCGAAGAGCTGCTCCGAGACGTGGATAAGACAGGGGTCCTGGCTGATGCTTTTCTCCGTGTACGTTTGTCATGTTTTCAGTGCTCCCTCTAACTCCCTTGCAGCCGGATCAAAACCATGACCTTGGGCAGGTTTTCCACTGTACTCGTGGCTGGCGTGCCCTCCTGCTTCCAGAAAGCCATGCCTCAGGGACGAGCTTATTATCAGGAGTATCTGGAAAGGTGACGGATGGGACCAGAGTCACCAGAAAGGCACATCCAGGGGTCTGGAGATGCCCTGAAACACACAGCCTGTGAGAATGGGACACAGTGAAACATCAAGCTGTTTGGGGTGCCCCGAAAGGGACACCCAGGGGGCTGGGGCGGCCAAAGGCACAGCGAGGGGTCTGGGGAGGCACTGAAGCGCACAATGTGGAGCCTGGGCAATGCTGACACGCACACCGAGGGGTGTGGGAGGAGGCAAAAGGCACATCCAGGGGGCCGTAACAAACGGAAAATCACATCGAGAAGTGCTGTGCAGCCCGAAAGGCCCCGAGGGGTGCGGGGAGGCCCAGCAGGCACACCCAGGGCTCCAGGGCGCACCGAAAGGCATGCTCGGGGGGACTGGGCACACCAGAAGGCAAACCAAGGCGTAGGGGCTTTCCCATCGCTGTCCCGCAGCCGGCCGCAGCGCCCAGGCACGACTGTTCCCTCGGGGGCATCTGGGAGGCCCGGTCCCGGTCCTGGGCTGGGGTGAGGGTCCCTGGGGGCTCGCCCTGGGGCCGGGGATGTTTGGGGGAGGCGAAGGCTTGAAAGGCGTGCTTGCTTTCCGACAACCAAGCAGCTTTTCCCTGCGTTGAAATACAAACTGGAGGGATTAACAGCTATGAGCTCGATCCATACGTGTGATTGAGTTTCACAGAGATTTTATAATGAAGGCAAAGCCTCTGTCGTTGAACGTTTTAACGGGATGCTCAGAGCAGAGATGTGGAGGTATCGTGCAGCACACACCACTTTTTGCTAGGTTACTTGCTATCGAGTTCATGAAGAGCTGTAAGCAGAGCTTCCACAAGCCCTACCAGAGCCAGGCCTGCAGATGTGAACGCTTCAAACTCATCGAGAGTTTAGAAAAGCGTATATGGCGGTGCTTTTAAAGACTCCGTGCCTCTGCTCAAAAAGGAGCCCATGTCAGGGTGTCTAGAATGAAAGGCAGATTTGGGAAAGGTTATGAAGAAATGTTCACAAACGAAATGTTCATAGTAGCTGAAATTGTGAGAAGAGGACAGATACTTGCGTACCGCTTAATGATCACGAAGCAACTGAGGGGCCGTTTTACACGGAAGAACTTCAAAAAGTGAACCCTGACAAAGACAGACTCTACAAAAGCGCCATCGTTGCTGCAAGAGGGAAAGGAAGAAAGAAACAGCTTGCTGGTGAAGTGACGTGGCTGGTAACAGAAATTTAACAGTTGGGCAGAAGCCACGCAAGTCCAGGCTTGGCAGTGGAGCAGGGGAGAAAAGAATCAGAGTCACAGAGTCATAGAATCGTTCAGGTTGGAAAAGACCCTTAAGGTCATCGAGTCCAACGTTAACCCAGCACTGCCAAGGCCACCACTAAGCCATGTCCCAAAGCACCACATCTCCCCGGCTTTTAAA